GGGAGCGCTGCCCGCGCCACACAATAGCGCGGCTCCGCGGCCCCGGGACTTGCGAGCAGCCCGGCCCGGGAAGTTGGTGCTCGCTGTCGGCGCCCCATGGCCGCCCGGCCCTGACGCCCGGGCCGGAGCGGGGCAGAGCCGGCCGCCACCATGTCCATGCTGCCCACCTTTGGCTTCACGCAGGAGCAAGTGGCGTGCGTGTGCGAGGTGCTGCAGCAGGGGGGCAACATCGAGAGGCTGGGCCGGTTCCTCTGGTCGCTGCCCGCCTGCGAGCACCTCCACAAGAACGAGAGCGTGCTCAAGGCCAAGGCCGTGGTGGCTTTCCACCGGGGCAACTTCCGCGAGCTCTACAAGATCCTAGAGAGCCACCAGTTCTCGGCTCACAACCACCCCAAGCTGCAGCAGCTCTGGCTCAAGGCGCACTACATCGAGGCGGAGAAGCTGCGGGGGCGGCCCCTCGGGGCGGTGGGCAAGTACCGCGTGCGCCGCAAGTTCCCCCTGCCCCGCTCCATCTGGGACGGCGAGGAGACCAGCTACTGCTTCAAGGAGAAGAGCCGCAGCGTGCTGCGCGAGTGGTACGCGCACAACCCCTACCCGTCCCCCCGCGAGAAGCGCGAGCTGGCCGAGGCCACCGGCCTCACCACCACCCAGGTCAGCAACTGGTTCAAAAACCGGCGGCAGCGAGACCGGGCGGCCGAGGCCAAGGAAAGGTACGAGTAAGTACCGCCACCCCTGCTGCTGCTACCGCTACCCCGCGGCCCTATCGGCGCAGGGACCCCGTGGCCTCGCCGCCCAGCTTCTGGGCTAACAAAGTGCTTCTAGGGAAAGCCAGGCTTGGGCTGGGCTGAGAACGGGCTCCTAGGAAAAAGCCAGGTTGGAAGGGACCTTGGGCTGCGCTAAAATGGGGCTCCTAGAAAAAAAACAAACAAACAGGTTTGGGCTGGGCTAAAAGAGTGCTCCTAAAAAAAAAGCCAGGTTGGAAGAGACCTTGGGTTGGGCTAAAAAAGGGCTCTAAAAAAGGTTGGAAGGGCCCTCGGGCTGGGCTGAAAAGGTGCTCCCGGGCTGGAAGGGACCTCGCCTGGTCCAGGCGGGGCTCGAACCTGGAGGGTGTCGGCCCCGCGCGGGGGGAGGGGGGGGGTGCCTCCCAGTGCTGGGAGCAGCGGGATGGCCGGTTGCTGCGGCGGGGGGAGAAGGAGAGGCAGGAGGGGAGAGGGAGCGCGGGGGGGATCCCGAGGCCCCAGGCAGGGCAGAACAGCTGGGCAGGCCGCGCTGAAAGCTTCCCTAGCTGCAGAGATGCCCCCCCCCCCCCATCCCCTAGTTTGGCAGGCCGGGCGAGGGGCATCCGCGCAGCTCGGGCTGGGCTTTCTCTTGTGCTCAAATAGGGCCGTGTCCTGCAGGCCTAGGGGCGGCCGAGCTGCTGAGCGCAGGGCAGTGGGTGCTTTGAACGTGTCCTGAGCCAGGACCTAGGGGCCGCACGGGCCCCGGAAGCAGGAATAGGGTCCGCAGCTTGAGGCCGGAGCCGCCCGGCTGCCCTGCTGCGGGGGAGCCCGCGGACGAGACGGACGCGCTGCGGGGCGGCGCGGGCCTTCCCCTGGAGCCGCAGCAGGGCAGGGCCCGGGCCGTGCGCTGCGTTTGCCCCCGGGCCTCGAAACGCGCTGGTGCTCGGGCCTTAGCACAAGCTGCCCCGCGGCGGGACCTCCTCTCCCTGCCCGGTTTTGGGGGAGAAAAGGGCCGGCCGCTTTTCTCGATCGGTATTTGTCCCTGCAGGGGAGGTTTGGGGCTCCCGGAGAAAAGAGTCGCCCGGCTGGGCACAGATTTGCGTCGCTTCTTGTCGCGGACACCGCGAGGGCTGGGGCAAGAAGCGCCGGGGACTGCTCTTCGGGGAGAGCCAGGCCTTTGTTGGTCTGCCCAAATCTCACGTTTTGTACCGCTTCGCCTGCCTTTGGCAGCGGGGGGAGGCGGGGTGGGGGGGAGGAAGCAAACCAGAGCATGGAAATATTCTCCGTGCAATATCCCCATGCAGCCCGAGTGACTTAAATGGAAAGGCACGGGGGGAGCTGGGAGCAGGAGTTGGCCTCCACCGCTGTCAGCAGGGCCGGGCAGAGCGTTTCCAACCTCAGATGCTGGCTGCAAGCGTTGACACGAGATGAAATGGAGCAGCCTGGAGTCGTGCTCATTAAAACGCGGTTGACATCCTTGCACAAACCCCGCGTCTTTAAACAGCAAAACAAAAAGAAAAATCTTGGTTTCTGGTCTTTGGAGCTGTTTTCCTTTTTAGATGCAACGATGAAGCACGAGCATTTTTTAAACGTCTCCCTCCCCCCCCCCCCCCC